GAAAGGAAATGAGAAGGTATGTTTTTGTCTGAACAAGTGATGAAATGTACTGGCTTTTGCCAAAAATGATTTGAGTACAGCACAACAGCTACATATGTTAAAAGCACCATTCTTTTTATTTCATTCATATTTACTGCTTATATCATATTTACTGCTTCCATAAACTGGGTTACATCAGGACTAGAGAGTCAGTCAGCACAGTGCACACTGAGTCACAGTCATTATGTCAGTGCACGTAAAGAGAGGAACATGAACTGCAAAGACGTGGCCCAGTCGGTGACAAAGGAGGACGCTTTCTGCAAAGTGACTTCCAATTTCATCTCATTTAATCTTGACAAAGACATTTCAGAGCCGTCAGTCACAGGGTGAAAACCACAGTCATGATCAAAATGATACGAGTGAGAGAATGTTTTCAAAAAGACGATGTTTGGATCCAAGTTACAAGAAGATCAAACTTAAAATGCATCAGCTTTTTGTCTATGATCATCAGTGGATCAACAAGTGAGCCACTGTGGTGCTTTGCGTTAAGCAGATCTGATGTTTACCTTATTATTTTAAATTAATCAAATCAAATGTTAGCACGCTAACACATGCTTCAGCTGAGGTGGATGGGAAGGTCATTAGATGTACTGAATTCATGCAGCGCTGGGTCTTCTCTCCAGCGGTTACATCAGAATACAGTGATATACACACTGGCCAAAGAGTCATCGTCATAGCATTACCAACGATCTGCTCAAATAAAATCAGACAACTTAATTATTCACTAGGAGTGTTGAATCATTTTTTATCAGATTTGCACATGGCGGAAGAAAAAGCTTTCAGTTCCTCATTTACAAACCGACAACTGACAGACTTCCTCTTTTCATCTCCTGTAAATGATTCCATCATCAGGTCTTTTTTAGGAGGCTGGAAAGTACATCTAAGCAGCAGATCCAAAAACTGATTTAGCACACATGGTAACCTACTGAGGGGAGAAAGATCAAACCTGCCATTGATTACAGACAGAAAAATCAGAAAAGCCTTTGATTTTTTTCACAGCTGCTTTGTTCAGATTCATTATTTTCTCCCCAAGATTTAGTTTTTCTGCTTTGCTCATAGACTTCATTCAGATAAAAACAGCCCCCCGCTGGAGCCGGTCAACTGCATGCAGCGTGGGGACATTTAATGAGGCATTATGTCTTTGTTACGGTGCAGGGGTCTGACTGTGGCATGTTTACAGAGGATCGAATATGGTGCCAATTCAGGACACACACTGTAGGAATAACAGGCTGTGCACAAAACCCAGTGAGCACCAAATCGTACTTCAGCTGTGATGGTAAAAAAAGAGGAAATCAGGCCGTTGCTCTTTCAATCACACATGTCTGTCTCTGAATGAGTACCTGTCCTTTTTCATATTCTTACTTTTTGTGGATGCTTAATTCCACACCCCCCATCACTGTTACAGCTATTATTAAATCCTCAATACACTAACAGGTTTTAAATCTCAAGTGACTACTGAACATGAATAACTGCTTGGATAACATAGCTTTCATATGTGCTCTGCCATCTGTATTGTTCTCACTTGCTCAGTAGCCCAGAACTGTACTCTCATTTGCTTTTGGTTCAGGTCCAATGCAGCAAGGCTTTGATTTTCTCAAATTCTGGCCACCTTCAAATGCAAACTACATAGTTTGGGACCGGGAGTCTGTGTTTTTATAGTTATAATGTGACTAATACAGGTATGGTATTTCTATAGCCATGTGAAAGGATTTCAGAAAGACTGAAAATCGTCTTAACGCTCCTCCTGGTGATGCACTTGGCACAGTTGGAACTTCCCTGGCAGCCTGCTGTAGACGTGAAGACCAGCTGAGATGGACAAATGGCAGGCATGAACTAGAGGCTGCCTGTGTTCTGGAAAGTTGCAAATTTTTGTAGCCCAGACCTAATTTAGACAGCGTTACCCACCATGGCACTCAGTGTTAAGATAACAAACCTGAAAGACAGATTAAAAAAAAAAAATTAAGGCTAAAATTTTGTTTTTCACCTGTTGTGTAATTGTAGTTATCTGATTAATCCTTTGAGAAACGTGAATGTCTGTGCAACATTTCATGGGAATCCACCTAGTGCTTGTCTGGCACTTTGACCACTTCCACTCCACCCATTTTTGAGCAAAAACACCTAAAATGATATACCCAAACTAGACAGGTTGTAGCTCCTGAACTACACTGACTGTACAAATAAATCAAGCCATGCCAGAAAAGAAATCCCCCGAGGTTTCTTGTTAGCATGTTAGAAAAACTCTAGGTGAGACAGAAACGGAGCAGCAGATCTCTGAATTTAGAAAAGAGAAACATTGTGTTTGCCTAAAATCAAATGATATATTACAATCTAAGTAGCTGCCTGTGGCTTTATATTCCCTGCTGAATGACACTGTGGGGCTGTAAACAGAATATAAGTGCATAACCGCTTCAAATGTGATGAAGTATCACAAACTATGACAATTCAGGGGGTTTTTTCATTAAGTGGTCCACGTGGCTCCAAAAAGGTCATCTGGTAACCAAATTGTTTTGAGTCATGGAAACGTTTTGTCATTTACATTTAGATATATTTCACCACTTTGAGAAGTGTGGTACAGCTGAATAATAAAATACAAAAGACACAAACCGTACTAAACAACTCACAAAAATAAACTATAATAGTGTGGTGTAAATGCCTCCTAGCCCCGCCCACCTCCGTATTCCTCATACAGTCGCAGTGAGAGGGTAAAAGTGACGATCAGAGCTCCTAGAACCATAAACAGGGCTCCTAGAACCATAAACTGGGCTCCTAGAACCATAAACAGAGCTCCTACACTGCGCGCGTAATACCGCTGGAGAGGCGCGGTTACGCATGGCCGTATCGCCCCTTCGGATGGGCCAGCTTACATGTCCCGTAGCTTGTATCTCTTTGGTGGAAAGCTTAGAATCTCGGTTTTATGTTGGGCAAAACACAGTTCATCCATATCTTCCCGTTTCACAAACAAATGCAGTCAAACACAGTGTGGCGAAATGTGCGTTCTCGGCACACACACAAATTTCCACTGAGGCTACAAGTCGCAAAACAATCAAACAGATGCGAACAAGCTGGCCTAATGATAACAAGCATTGTTGTGCAGGCCAAAGCCATGTTTCAGTTCACACACAACTAAACAGAGTCACTTTCGGCTTTTCCCGTTCATGGGTCGCCACAGCGAATCGCCACACTGACGACTCGTATGTTGACATTTGGCACGTGTTTTACACCGGATGCCCTTCCTGACGCAACCCTGATTGGAGCCTGGGCCACAATGGGGAGAGCACTGCGCCTTAACCACTAGCCTACCAGGGACGGCTAACAGAACTATAGCGTGAACATCGGAAATAACTGGGGGAGCAAATCAAGGCAGAAAAGCGCGACAGTGTTTACAATGTTTGACCTGTTTCCGGATTGGACCCAGATAGCGTCCCACAGGACGATCAGGCAGCGGCCGTGACAGGATTTGTAACGCGGGGACTTTAGGTGTCTCCTTTGCAAACTACGTCTAAAATACACTTTAATGGATGTTACAAGTGTAGGCAGATTTAACGTTTCAATACCAGGTAAGTCTACGTTTGTTAGGGGGATGTGACGCAGTATGGCAAAAAAAAGGTCCAAAATAGAGATTAGGTCAATTAGTGGACATGGGCGAATCAAAGATGTTCATAAAAAGTCTCCCTTAACTTCACTTCTGAAAAGCTTTTCACTCTTCCTGCACCAGTTAGGCCCTAAAAACCAGGCCGAGCATCCTGTTGAACATAGGGAGCCCTTAGATTTATCTACACTGAAAAACCTTTAGGCTGCAGTGAATTTGCCTCCTGTTCAAACTGCCTGATGTTTGGGTATCTTCCAAAGTCACTTGTTTTTTTATTGCATAATCCTAATTTCTTTTTTCCCCTCTGAGTTCCAGTGAGAGAAAATGAAGAAACACATTTGATGTGACCATCTCAGACAAGAACATTTTACAGGACTGTAGATTTCATCCTCCTTCTGGTCACAGCTGGTACAAACAAGAGGAGTGAATACAGGATTGCTCACTCTTTTAAAAATAGTCTGTCCCCTCAGGAGTAAATGACTGACATACTGGGCTGTGTATGAACTCATTAGTTGGACTGTGCTAAAAGAGGATTATAAAAACATAGTTTCTGACCAGGCTGAACAGCAGCGAGGCAGCTCGTTGATTGTCCAGCCTCCGTCCTGCTGTTCTCACCTCCAGCTTCAGTCCATCACCAGGGTAACCAGGTCATATACAGAAACCTCACGATGTGCACGCTGTGTGCTTCAGGCTCTGTTGTCTACACAGAATGTCTGCTTTATTTGTTGTCACAATAAACAGATCAAGTCCAAATGAATCCCAATGTCACATCTTCATCACCTACCAGCACAACACGGACGCCCCCTGGTTACTCCAGGATGAAGGACCTGCCCCCAGGGTTCCAGCCACCTGTTCTGGTGCACTCCAGACAGGGTCAGTCAAGCACGGACAACAGCACACATCTGACATTTGGTGTTGACAGAGAGGCCCCCCCGACACCAACCATCAGGCACCAGTATGCTTCGACCCTGCTGTAGTGTCCTTGATCCAGTCACTGAACCCAAACCAGGTCCACAGGTAAGGCTCAAAAACACATTCATGTGGACAGGGATGCATCATTCTTATCAGACAGGTAGTCTTACTAATTTGTACACGTTTTATACTGGATTTACTGCTTTTGATACATTTATATGGATTATTTTAACTGCGCAACATATTTTCCCACCTATTACTGCATTCTCTTGTCTTTGATTGTTTTTCCTGTAAAGTGATGTGGAGCTGCTGCTGCGGAGACTACTCCAAATGGTTGGCAGTAAAACAGAGAACAGCTCATCTTCAAATTCTGGTTTTACTGGGTGGAAATAAGGTTTAATCACAAAAACAAAGCAGCAACAATATAAATCATTCTAAATAAATACAACAGAGTTGCTGATTTAAATAAAGACAGTTTTGTTTATTGACGCATAAAACATCCTTCAAACAATAAACCCATTTCCAGGTATGGTCTCTGTACAATGCTTACTAAGCAGTTGTATTTATATAGAAAACGTAAGAGGGGCCGAGCTTCAAATCACAAGGCTCCTTCAAATTTAATGGCAGGTATTCTGGAAAAAATTACAGCATTCCATCAACAAATATTTTCAAGCAATAAATATGCATTTATAAATAGTGTAAATTTACATCTAAATAAAAAACAAATTAAAGTTCACTCTTGTCTATGTGCAACCCTTTGTCTCTCCAACCTGGCTGTTGTGTACAAACAGTTTCCTCTCTCGCACCGTAAAGTAACCGGAGACTCGTTTTAGTTCCAGCAAAACTAGGTTCAACTGATCTTTTAAAAAACGGGAAATGTTGCAAACAATGTGTCGCTCAACTTTTCATGTTACAAAACAGTTTTCTCTTGTTGTCCTGACCGAGGAGGTGTCCAACGTACAGATGACCAGGTATGCTAATGACTCATCTCATGGAGGGGAAGGCAACGACGCTGCCATGTCAAAGCACAAACAGATTACAAAAATGGAAAAACCAAACTATCACGTCAGTAGTCTCTGTGTGACCGTGTTGCCAGCTGAAACATAATATGTACAAAATGTTACCTCACTGTTTATCTGTGGGATTTTGTGTGTGTTTTCTAATGAAGTCCAGCTGGGCCAGCAGTAGAACAGTCTGGTCATTACAGGAGGGGCTGCCATCCCCCTCCCGTCCACTGGGGGGAGGCACACCACTCTGGGCAGGTTGCATAGACACACAGCTTTCACACAGCTGCCTTAGCTACAGAGCGCAGTTGGAGGACTGCCGGCTTACTTCCTGAATATCAGAAAAAAAAAATAAAAGGTTTCCGGAGAGCTTCTGATTAAGTCCACTGTGGTTCTAACTGTCCTCAGAAGTATGCGAGTGTTAGCATCAAGAGGAGGAAGGCAGAGGACTCGCCTGTGGAGAGAGATACGAAGAACACACTGAGCTCTGCAGACATTAATCATCAAGGGTCTTAAACTGATCCGCTCTGGTCTGAATGAGACAAGTGCCGCTGATACGTACAAGAGTGAACTGGTCATAGACCTGCATCAGGTCCTCGACCTTGTACTGCTCTAGCACCACAAAGCTGTCCAGGTTGGTGCTCGCCCTACGAGCACAGTCCTGGCACTGCACCACATACGTTTTCCTGCTGTTGCTCTCAGTGGTTACAAACAGCAGGTCAAACACCTCCACCTGGGCACAACAGGCAGACACAAAAGTGTAAAAACAATAAATAAATAAGAAAGAAAAGCACTAAAGTGCAGTGGGCAAGAATCAGGTGTGGTTCAGCTGGTGTGTGCTTACTTCACAGATGCTGCAGTAGTGTGCCGGCTCGTTCTGGGTCCTCCCGTGCCACACCAGCTCCTTCCCAGCAGCCAGCAGCAGTTCCCGCTGCATCTGACACTGCTTCAGAGTCCGTAACAAACAATACCTGACCCACAGGAACACACACACACACACACATCAGGTGAGCTCAGGGTAACACACCCAGTAGTCTGTAGTAATATCTGAACCTGGAAACAGTGAGTTCTCACTTGATCATCTCAAAGAGCTTGTGGTCCGAAACTTTGATGTTCCTGGCCATATTCCAGGAGAGGTGGATCATGGGAACGATAGATTTAACACTCTGCAGCTTGTTCCACTCGTAGCGCTCCACGGCCAGCTTGTACTGATGAGCTGAAGACAGCAGCACAGAGGAATTCTTCATTTCCCTCTCTACACTGGTGGCAAGGTGTGTGCGTATACATCTGACAGTGTTTCACATTCATTTGGACTTCCTGTTTGGAGGCTGCACGGTAATGAGCATCTCCAGGCAGAGTGTCTAACTCCTATCCTCGACTCACCTGTGAGGGGTCCGACATTCCACGCAATGTTGTTGCACCAGCCGATGGCCTGAACCCAGTGGATGGTGCCTGTGTTGAGCCACACCAAGTCTCCAGGTCGCTGGATGAAGCGATAAACAGGCACGTTAGTCTCGTACAGGTCCTCCAGGTTGGGCCACCAGGAACCCATCAGGAAGTTGATGTTGTTCCTGTAAAAGGAAAACATGTAGATATCAGTCTCACCTCTAAGGATCAGCTAAGAAACCTTCCAGCTACATTTCTGGATACGTACTTTTCACAGAAGTCATTGATGACGCCCCAGTACAGCTCAGGCACCGCAAACCACTCACAGTCGCCAGGGCCGATGTTGATGTTGACTGAACAGAAGTTGTTGTTTTCCTGATGACCTAAAGAAAAGGATGTGAGTAGTAACACAGTAAGATGATGACAGTACAGACAACAGTGCTGTTGATCCATATCCATGTCTACCTGGCGTCCTGCTCCCCGGTACCTTCATGTAGAGCTGCACAGTGTTCATGCCCAGTATGGTGTGTCCTACATGGCTGAGCAGGTTACCGGCTGACACCACCCGGGCAAAAGCTGGCAGCTTAGCCAGCTCCTGCAGCTGCAGTTTCCATCTATGAAGGTCAAAGGTTCCATGTTAGCATGAGACAAACAAGGGACAAGTTGGAAGATCAATCACATGATGGTTCATCTCACTCACTTCTTTTCATCAGAGAGCTCGATGTTGGTGCCAAACTTGATGTGTTTAAAAGGGCCTTTCCTTCGTCGCATCGCACTAACACAGGATGGAAGTACAGTGAAATTAATAGGAAAACCTCAGAAAAAGTGAAATCTGAGGAGAAAGGTGAAGAGAAGTCACCTGTCTGAGGAACCTGCCTCCGCTTCCATCTCCTTCTTCTTCTCATTCTCCTCCTGTCACAAGATTCACAAACAGACAAAAGTGTTGAAAACGCTTGATAAAGTGCTTTTGGTTAAGTTCACACTTTGTTTTGAGGTAAATCTCGATCTACATTCCAGCCATCATTAAAAAGCACAGCTGGTAACATCTCAAATATGTGTTCACAGCTACATAAACTCATTTACAGCTCCATAATGTTGTTGTTGTTTTTCCTTTCATTTACAAACAAAAAGCCAAATGAGAGACAGACACACACACACACACACACACACACACACACACACACACACACACACACACACACACACACACACACACATACCTGGCTGTAGTGTGCGAATCCCTCCCACTGACCCGCAGAGAGTCCTGGAAGGACGAGGCCTGGTACTGGGCGTATCTGATGATGGTGGTATGGGAGCGGCTGCTCTCGCAGCGCCACATCTTTCTGCTGCCGCTGGGGTCCCAGTTCTCATCAGTGGGCTGAGCCAACTGGGTCCGCACCTCTACCAGATGGTCTGGGTTGGCCTCCACCAACGTC